GGTCCGTTCACTTGTTGGTGTGCTCCAATGTTGTCTATTTGCAGAATACTTAATTGATCTGAAAATGTGGACCTGAGAGAATAGCACATGAAGTCAGGTCAGGTCAATTCAAATCAAGGAATCAATTTACGCACCTCGAAAGAGGGATTTTCAGGCATCACATAATCGCAGTGTCAACAAAAGGTAAACAGCATTATAGTGCAACAATTAAAAGACGTCAAAACGGACAGCAACATCAGAAACTAGTGGCATACCCGGGTGTTTATGATTGGTTTATTTGAGCATTTTGCGCAGATTACCTGCAACGAGTTCATGGTTTGTTAGAAATCGGCGAAATGCGGCGCAATAGAGCGCCTGTAGGCTTCAGTGTCTTTATAAGTTTGTGAGTGGAACGGGTGGATGGGTGAGAAAGACACTGAATAGAAATAAAATAAACGGGATGGGAAATATGAAATAAAATCTTTTTGGAGAATGTTTTGCAGGACGTAATGTGGTGTGACACTAAATACTGTACCAGATTTTTCCGTGAAATGAGACTACGAACCGACAGAAACTTGAAGCATCGGGAAATGTGTTTGAGGTCCTTGTTATAAAGACCAGCAAAGATAACAGGGAACCCGTAAAGCCAGTGGGGCGAAACGCACGCAAAAACAAAACCGCCTTATGAGATAGTTTTTGGGATAGTAAATGATTTAAGATGTAAAACATAAAACATTATCCTCCTGAACTTCAGAAACGTGGTCAGACCCGGTGATATTACGGTTGAAAATCATACCCAAATATCTGACAGACGGTTGTCGGTCCATCTGGTTAATGAGGATGGATAAAGGCGGACTGACATTTGAAAATTCATCACACTTTTTCCCTTTCGGAAAGGAAAAACCTACGTCATTATATATTTTGGGGGTCATTCGGAGGTTCAATTTTTTGAGTCCAATCAACCCGTTCTGACACGTCTTCTTGTAGAGTGGTCTGAAATGATGAGTTGGGGTAGGGCAGTCCGAATATTATATCGTCGGCATAAGTGACGAGAAGGGAAGAATTACTCACAGGTATAGAGGAAATGTAAGCGGAAAATAGAAAAGAGGATAAAATAGCACGTTGCAGTACGCCTTGTGAGGAGGGCAGCAGTGAAGAGGTACGACCTTTGAAGCGTGTAAACTGCTCACAGTTAGAGAAATAGTTGGTCAAGAGTTCAATCGTGGAAGGTTGAATTCAGCCCGAAAAGGGAGTATTTAGCAAAATTTGTCGACGAATTGTGTTAAAAGCATCACTGTGGTCAAGAAAATATACGCGTACAGCCTTGCTTTTCCTATCCAGGTTGAATAATACAAAGTGGAACAGGCAGGCAAGGGCATCCAGGGTACCGCAGAAATGGGTGTATGCAAACTGGTTCGGGTCACCAACATTGAACTGTTAATGAGCAGCCTCCGAAACACCACCAGAACAGCTGGGGTGAGGGCACTGGGACGGAATTTCGAAGATCCTTTATTCGGTACAGGGGTAATAGAGGCTATTATCCAGCAATCGGGTATACGTTGCTATAAAATACAATTATTGAAAAGTTCACTCAGTACAGGGGAAAGGAAGCAACACATTCTTTCAGGACAGCGCGGTGAGACTCCGTCGGGGTCGCAGAATTTGTAATGATTTAATCGGGCCGACTCTTGGTGAATATTGACAGGTGGAACGTCAGCGACGGGCTTCATCATGTTTATTTCATATCCATTAGGTAGAGCAGTAAGAGCGGTTCCACTGCTGATGAAATTCTGATTCAGACCATCTGTGGCCACCGCATTAGGTGTGCGGTGTGTGTATTTGATGCCAGAAATTCGCATGAGGGCTTGCCAGGTCTTACGACTGTGTGTGTTGTCAAGTAGAGCACGGGCGTATAAAGAGTTTAGCCTTCGAATTTCAATCCGAATGGAAAGGGAAACAGTGATCACATGCACCGATGAACATTTCGAATTTTGTATTCGTATTTGTTCATCAGTTGCGAATTCGAGGAGTAGTTTTATCCTGTCCAGAAAGTGAGAAAAATTTTAGATTGTGGATAAGTTTTTACACTTTTCAGTACGATCAGTTCTCCCCCACCTGTGAGCTAAGAAATTCGCATCAAAGCGGACTGCAGGAAATCCGATTGGTATTTCTATAGACCTTTGCGCGGACGTATGTTCGCACTGCAATCAAAAATGAAACATCATCTCATCCAAAGA